TCCCTCCCTCCCTCCCTCCCTCCCTCTCTCCCTCCCTCGCTCCCTCTCTTCCTTCTTCCCTTCCTTCCTTCCTCCCTTCCTCCCTTCCTTCCTTCTATCAGAAGCAGTGAGGTAACAGGCAGCCAATTAAAAGGGAGGCATCTGCTTTCTGCAGGTGAATGGGCTGTTAAGTAAACAAAACAAGCAGACCCAGAGCAGTGGGCTGGAAACCTGCTTGCAGCTGGGAGGGGGCGGGCTGGAGCCCCCAGAGTTGATGGTGAACTTGAAGGTGCTCTAATTCTTGGCCTTCCATAACCATGGGTGGGACAGGGTGTTGGCAGTGCAGAAGCACCCAGGCCCTGCCTGCCCAGCGGGGCTTTATTTAGGCAGTGCATTGTAACTGCTTGCAGAAGTTAAGGAGAAACTGGTCCACTCCAGGGTTTTCCGGCCTGCAGCAGGATGGGAGCTGCCCTCCGCTGGTTTTCCAGTGCTGACTTGAGGGGGAGACAGGTGGGAGTTGGCAGAGGAAGTGCTGTCCACTGACTTGAGGCACTCAGGGGCATCTCCTGGGCTTGGGGTTTAGTGTCTTCAGAGCTGGAGTGTTTAGGGTTGACTGGGGAGCTGTGTGTTTGCCACTGCCTGGCTTGACATTTCCCCAAACTCCAGTGTGTTCTGATGACAAGGCTGACAGGCTCAGCCAGAGCAGCAGGTGGTCAAGAGCCCAGTCCTGCTGATGGCTCCAGAAAGCCATTGCTTTCTGCTTCCCAAGTGCTTCCAGTAATAGACGCTGGTGGTGCCCTGAATTCTGAGCATCAGTGTCCTCTCTGGGTCACTCCTTCTCCTGTGCTTAGAAGTCCTGTCCCAGTGTGGATGGAGGGAGCAGGAGGAGGCAGGATGTAGGGCCAGGTGGGTTGTGGGTCCAGAAGCCCAAATCACTGGACATGGGAGAGAACATGAAGGAAGAAGGAGAGCCAGAACAGCAGGTATCAGCATGCTCCGAGGGACCTGCAGGGAACAGGTGATGGTCAGGAAGGGGGGAGGGCTGGAAATGCAGGGGTAGCAGTTGAGAGTGGGAGAGGGATGGAAGGGTAGGGGGTGCAGGTGGATGTGTCAAGAGCTAAGTCCACACATACCTGTGTTAAAAATGAGTGTTCCTTGGGAGGAGTGTAGGAGGAAACATTGAGGTGAACGCAGCAGAGCTATGAGGAGAGCTGATTATTAGAGATGTGGGAACTGGGATTAGCTCCTAGGCTGTGGGTGGAGGGAAGGAGTGCTCAGGAATCTGGAGAAGAGAAAAAAACAACAGGGCCTCACTTTAGGGAGTGGAGGAATGTGGGGAACACAGGCATTGAGTCTCCGGAGAGAAAAAAGTCTACTCTGCATCACAGCAGAGAAACCTTTGGGATGGTCGCTGGAGAGGCACAGGTTACAGCCCTGTCATTTCTGAACAGGCTGCTGCTTTCCTGTGGCTCACTATGCCCCAGGCTGGCCGGCTGTGTCATGTGCCCCTTTCCCTTCTCCTGAGATGAAGGAGGTTGTGTCATGTTAATTATACACTGTAGAGGGTCTGGTTGGGTCTCATTCGGGTAGCAGAATCAGCCTTGAAGCTAACTGGTTTTTTTTGACTTTGTTCCGAGTCAAAACAGAAGTGGAAAGTTACTCAATTCAGAAACACCTCATGAGTGGAAATTTAACAAATGCATTGGGATGCACGGATGATGGGAATACCCTGAGAGGAAGCACGCTGGCATTGTGGGGTGGGCTGGGCAAGGAGCACGCTGGCATTGTGGGGTGGGCTGGGTGAGGAGCACGCTGGCATTGTGGGGTGGGCTGGGCGAGGAGCACGCTGGCATTGTGGGGTGGGCTGGGCGGTGAACGCAGAAAGCTGGCACTGGGAGGAGAGGGGGACAGCAGCAAGCCAGCTGCTGGGCAGTGCAGAGAAGCCCAGGAGCTGAGTTGCCATGAAAAATAGAGCAGAAGCTACAGGCGAAGAAGGAGGGGAAAAGGGGGCTGAGGAAGAGCTCTGCGAACAGCGTGCCCTGCGCTCCTGTGAAGTTGTGCTCCCCTGGCCCGCTGGTATGGCTTGCCTGAGGCCAGGAGAGGGAATGCGTGCTGGGCAGAGCTCTGGGTGCGCTTTGTGATGCTGCTTCTCTTTGTATTTTGATCCCAGGCTTGTCTCCTGTCCCTTTCCAGGTGAAGCCCTTCTGCCTGATTTTAGCCCAAGGATGCTCTGCACTGCCGTGATTTCTATGGAGACTGTGGAGCCAGTGTGGCTTCGTTCAGGTCCTGCTCCACCACTCGAGGTCTTCGCCTCCTCCTGCAGCCTGGCGTTGGTCCTGGGTCCAGGGTGCCTGTGATGACGTGAGGAGAGAGCCTGGAGACTCTTGCGTCGCGGCTGAGCAGCGATGGCTCAGCACCTTCCGCAGCCCGTCATAACGTGGTTCAGACCATCACGAGAAGGCAAGTGCTAAGACTAAAGGCTGGTTTGCATTTTATGTAAATTTGAAGGACTGGGCTTTGGACCGTTTCCATGGCAGAAAAATACTTTTCATATTCTCGACACAACGGCTGGCAGTCAGACACTTGCTGCCTGGGCACCGGGCGGCCAGATCACTGACCACGCCCCAGAGGTGCTTCCACCTGGGAGCGCTCGCCCCCGGCGAGGTGTGCAGGAGACCCCGGCTCTCTGGGGCTCTGCAGCTCCAGGCTGTCTGTCCAGACCCTCAAAGGTCTGGAGAGCAGTGTCTCATCCCCAAGCCGAGAGCATGGGGTGTGCTGATTTAAAAACAGAAAATGCAAAGTTGGACTGAAAATATCCTTAGTCTTCCAAGCAATCTGCTTAAGGGTTCCAAAGTTACCTTCGTTTGGTGAGCGAGGAGGCTGCCCTATTTTCCCCCCTTTCTTTCCTTTCTTCTTCTTTTACCACCGGAACCAGCCATTTCCCAAAGCCGCCACCATGGAGGTTGCAATGGTGAGCGCGGAGAGCTCAGGGTGCAACAGTCACTTGCCTTACGGGTACGCGGCCCAGGCCCGGGCCCGCGAGCGAGAGAGGCTGGCGCACTCCCGGGCCGCTGCAGCCGCGGCGGTCGCAGCGGCCACTGCCGCTGTGGAAGGCAGTGGAGGCTCCGGGGGGCCCCATCATCACCAGACCCGTGGGGCCTGCACCTCCCATGACCCTCAGGGTGGCCGCGGTAGTCGGAGGAGGAGGCGACCGAGGCCCGAGAAGAAGAAAGCCCACCACCGGCAGAGCAGCTTCCCTCACTGCTCGGACTTGATGCCCAGCGGCTCCGAGGAGAAGATCCTGAGGGAGCTGAGCGAGGAGGAAGACGAGGAGGATGAAGAAGAGGAGGAGGAGGAAGGGGGAAGGCTGTACTATAGCGAGGAGGATCGCGGCGATGAGTGCTCCTACACGGACTTGCTGCCCCAGGAGGACGGCGGCGGTGGTTACAGCTCCGTCCGCTACAGTGACTGCTGTGAGCGCGTGGTCATCAACGTGTCCGGCCTGCGCTTCGAGACACAGATGAAAACCCTGGCCCAGTTTCCAGAGACTCTGCTGGGAGACCCTGAGAAGAGGACTCAGTACTTTGACCCTTTGCGCAACGAGTATTTTTTTGATAGGAACAGGCCCAGCTTCGATGCCATCTTGTATTATTACCAGTCCGGAGGGCGCCTCAAGAGGCCGGTCAACGTTCCCTTTGACATCTTTACTGAGGAGGTGAAGTTCTACCAGCTGGGCGAGGAAGCCCTGCTCAAGTTCCGTGAGGATGAGGGATTCGTGAGGGAAGAGGAGGACAGGGCACTGCCAGAGAATGAGTTCAAAAAGCAGATCTGGCTTCTCTTCGAGTATCCGGAGAGCTCCAGTCCCGCCAGGGGCATAGCCATCGTGTCCGTCCTGGTCATTTTGATCTCCATCGTCATCTTTTGCCTGGAGACTTTGCCCGAGTTCAGGGACGACAGGGACCTGGTCATGGCACTGAGCACTGGCGGACACAGCGGGTCCTTGAACGACACCTCGGTGCCCCGTCTGGAGAACTCGGGGCACACCATCTTCAACGACCCCTTCTTCATTGTGGAGACTGTGTGCATCGTGTGGTTTTCCTTTGAGTTTGTGGTCCGCTGCTTTGCGTGTCCCAGCCAAGCCCTCTTCTTCAAGAACATCATGAACGTCATTGATATCGTGTCCATCTTGCCTTATTTCATCACCCTGGGCACGGACCTGGCCCAGCAGCAGGAGGGCAGCAACGGGCAGCAGCAGCAGGCCATGTCGTTTGCCATCCTCAGGATCATCCGCCTCGTCCGCGTGTTCCGGATCTTCAAGCTCTCCAGACACTCCAAAGGCCTGCAGATCCTGGGCCACACGCTCCGAGCCAGCATGCGCGAGCTGGGCCTCCTCATCTTCTTCCTCTTCATCGGTGTCATCCTCTTCTCCAGCGCCGTGTACTTTGCTGAGGCGGATGAGCCCACCACACATTTCCAAAGCATCCCCGACGCATTCTGGTGGGCCGTGGTCACCATGACTACCGTGGGCTATGGGGACATGAAGCCCATCACGGTAGGGGGCAAGATTGTGGGGTCCCTATGTGCCATCGCGGGTGTCCTAACCATTGCCTTGCCCGTGCCAGTGATCGTCTCTAACTTCAACTATTTCTACCACAGAGAGACTGAAAATGAGGAACAGACGCAGCTGACACAAAACGCAGTCAGTTGCCCATACCTCCCTTCCAACCTCCTCAAGAAATTTCGGAGCTCCACTTCTTCCTCCCTGGGGGACAAGTCCGAGTATCTAGAGATGGAGGAAGGAGTGAAGGAGTCTCTGTGTGCGAAGGAGGAGAAGTGTCAGGGGAGGGGGGACGACAGCGAGACAGATAAGAACAACTGCTCCAATGTGAAGGCTGTGGAGACCGATGTGTGAATGGCTCGCGCTGCCAGCCACGCCCCCTAGCATCTCCAAATATATTTATGCATAGGCAGTGCAGTTATGAAAATGAAATATGCAAATGAGTCCAATGCATACGGTAGTAGCCATGGAATGGTAATACGTGGCATAATTGTTACTAAACTTGTATCACATGTCAAATAAATGAAACATCTTGGAGAAGAGGGAGGATTAAACAGGAGCAAATCTATCTTTATATTTTTTATTAGAATGCAAGAATTTTGCACATGAACTGGAAGAGATGTTAATAGGAAGCTGGCTCCAAGGAGAGCGAGCGAGCGTGCGTGCGTGCGTGCGTGTGTGTGTGTGTGCGGGTGTGTGCCAGTGTGTATGTGTAAGTAAATTGTCAGCGTTGTTGGTCATTGTGCAGTGACGAGATGAGGTGGCATTTTGAAGTATTTACTATGAAAGCTCTAGTGAGTCCGAGCGGTCGCTTGCCAGTGCTTTAGCAGCGTCTCCAATGTCTCTGGATTCTGTAGCTGTTTTTTAAAAAATTGTAAGAGTTATTGTGTACAAAAAAGAGAAAGTAAATTATTTAACAGAATATAGGTCACAATTTTATCTTGGATTTAATTAAAGTTTATTTTTGACTGGAAATTAACTTTTAAAAAGGCTGCGGGGGCCTTTAGAAATTGATTCTATTTTATTATTAATTTTGGGGAGAAATGGCAACAAATGCCTAACATTATGGAGGAGATGGAACTGGAGAAAATGTAATGAATTTTGTTCCCAGGTGACAGGACTGGAATGTGTTTCCCCTTGCACTCCTTTATCCGCTGAAGATGGGGAGAGACTTCGTACTGTGAATATTCACCACTGCTGTAACCGTTCAATGACAATCATTGGAAGAATAATTGTTTAGTCTCATTTGCTCTCTTTTTCTTTGTATGAAACGGATGACCACAAGTAGCAGCACATGGTTCTCTCCTATTCTGAGACCTAACTGATATTCAAAGGGACTGTGAAGTAAAATTTAGCAACTGAATCTTTTGAAATTGGTCTGCTACACTGATGCTTCAGAAACCCTACTATCTTAAATACTTTCCTGCCTCTTAAGTCCAAAATAACTTAACCAAAGTCAATGCATGCACTGGGAGAATTCTTGAAGACCTACAATACCCAGCAGCTATAGTGATTATGGCTTAAATCTTTTCCTATTAAATGTGCAGCATAAATGCCAGATTCATTAAGTTTATTGTTTGTGTGCACTACGGAACAGCAGGATGTGGGGAGTCTCCTCCGATTTTAGCAGTCTCTTTGCTAATGTGGGTATAAGGAAGCATTGTCGCAAGACACCTGGTTTCCCCATCACCATCATAGCCATCTTTCTTAAAGGATTTGGTGACATACATGACATTTAATTCACAACAAAGTGTTCCAAAGTGTGAGGATAAAGCTAGTAATGTACTTGCACTACTGACTCACAATGACATAAAAGTTAGCAAACTCAAGCTGTGTTCATTAGAGCCTTTACTATTAGCTTTTTTAAAATGCATTTTGATTCTTTAGAGAACGGTTTTCCTGAGCTTTGGTAAAAGCCCCCAAATACCAGGTAGGGCATCCCTGCACATAGCGCAGTCTGATGCTGCAAAAAGGAATTTTAGAAAGACATGGAATTGTTTGGCCAAAGCCTTTCCAACCCAGGTTATCATTTGGCCAATCTTGACTCTTCTTCAATGGCATTTATATTTTGAATGAATTGAGTTTTAGGGTGAAAAGTTGTTCTGCACCCTGTTCCTGATCTTTCATCTTCACCCTGAGGGGAGCGCTTTTCTAGGGCCCCATTGGGAAACTGGAAGGCAACAAGCCTTTGGAGGCCTACCAAAAGTGGAAGCTGAGAAATGGACGGGACAGAGGGAGCATGTGTCATTGGTCACCACATCCTAAAAGAGGACACTTGCACATGGTTTGGATTTGTAGCAAAAATGTAATGAGCATTGCATGCAGGATAATGCCACATAGGTTGGTCCCTAGTCTAATGGCAAAGTAACTGATGTAGTGATGGAGAACAGGCAGGAACAGGCAAACACTCTGGAATCTTGATTTTCATGGAGATGTCTGATGTCTGGTACAAATTATTGGAGAAAAAAATATTTAGAACTCATGAGTTTCATGTACTGTGTCAGGAGGCTATAAAAATCAGGGATTGTTTCTTTACGTTGTCCTTACGCAAGACTGAGCTCCAAGCATAAATGAGCCAACTGCTGATTAATTACTGGAGTTTCTTTTCGGGGCCTATGATCTCAGGGATGTCTGTAGACAAGAGACCATGTTTCTTATGCTGTTCCTACCTACGTCGGATTATATGTTAAAAGAAGTGTTCTCTAGTCAGTGATGTTTGTTGCACATTCTATAATAGCAGTGAGGATGTTGTGAAGAAAAATGTACTGGATTGCATTGTTTATGTAACTTTTTTGTTTTAGATCTGAAAAGTTAAATTTATTTGCTGATACATGTTACACTGATGTTACTGAGAATTCAGCAGAAGGTGTTATTTAGGGATCTGAGTGCTTGACTTAATCTCACGTTGATTTTGTGGGTGAGAAGGTCAGAAGTGCTAATCGTGGGCTTTCAAACTAAACACTATTGGGTTGTCATGGAAGGAGTGTTTCTCCCCTCCCTGAAGGAAGCATTTATTTTAGGGTGTCTGGATCTTGCTTCTCCACAGAGAAAAGCTCTTGAGCCCTCAAGCCTTGCACAGGGACACTGCATGCAATGCTTCCCTCTTACAGAGAAGGTGTGAAAGCAGGGCGCTGAGTGCAGCTGTGAATTTATAGCATTTTTCCAAGTCGGCAAAGCACTTTAGAATCATTCGTGAAAATTTTATACTAAGAAAAATGCTTCCAGCTACTCTGTGTGGCTGATTTAGGAAAGTGGATCTTCTTAGATCCACCATACATGTTTGTTGTAAGAGAAAAGAGAGATGGCTCCATGTAGAGATGATCAGAATTCTCGGGATCTGGGACACAGGAGCCACTGTGGATGATGGCGGTGCCCGAGGCACAGTCTGCGGCTGTGCCCAGCAGCCTGTCTCCCAGGAAGATGCGCTGCTCTTCCCCACAGATGCTTGATGAGGAGGCAGTTAGGCCCAATGGTTATGAGGAGGGCAGGAGGAGGAAATAACACTTTTGACTCTGTAAAGGGGCACTAGAAGGTTCCAGGAACATGGCGGCTACTCCAGGGAATCAGGCTCTGCCACCAGCCCTGGGCGAATCCTTTGATCGCCTTGAGTCTCAGGGAACATTTTCTTGTTTTCTTGTTTTCTTCTCTTTCCTTCATTCCCTTCCTGTCTCACTTCCTTCCCCCACTCCAGAAACCCAGATATTGGGCTACATTACTACTTTTTCTCTCTTAGTATCAAATTTTCCTGTGGACTTACAGAAAGTATGATACTAGCTGGATATTTCCTGAGCATCTTTCAAATATACTATCTTGGATTTTTTTTTAAGTTCAATGATAAGAGCATAATAGTTTTGAAATCCCACTGTTAGACTAGCTGTAGTATCAGGAGTTTGACTATTTTAGAATATAAACTAACAAATAAATGAGATGTACTTTGAAGCTATTTCTCCTAATTACTAAAGAGAATTGATTCACTTAATGAAAACTAACTCTTGTGTCTCCAGTTGAATACTTATGGTGAGTGTTGGTAAGTAAACCTTTTGATTTTTTGCTCTGTTCTAGTGCCATCTTATCCATAAATGCAGTGCCAGGCCTTGTTCTGGGGAGCCCCTTCTAGGCCTGCACACACAGTACTTCCCAGCTGCTGTGGCATTCCTTGTCAAATGTTCTCTAAGCAGGATCATGGCAGCTTTGTAGAAATCTCCTCATCCAGCGTGCACTGACACGGCACTCTGACCATGAGCACAGTATATGCCTAAAGAAAATACTTGGAAGTAAGATATGTATTTTCCTAATTTTGGGCCAGCCTATGTCAACAAATAGAAAACTGTTTTAACTGCATTGGAATAATAATAGGAGTGTTCCCACCTCCCAACAGTGTCAGAAATGCTGGTGCTCATGATGAAGTCCTGTGGCTTTCGTGGGGGCTCTAACATTGCAGCTCCGAGGGGACAAGGAGGACCACGGCTGTCATTAACATTTTGAAGTGTACCTGTGCTGCTGTGTTCATGTGCAGGATGCAGATGGTAACATCCCTCTTTGTGTTTTTTGTTTTATTGATACAGTTTAGAATGATTACGGGTTGTCACTCAGTGACACAAGGGCCTGTTCCAGGAAATCTTCTTGACTCCAAAGTCATTCTGAATTCCGCAAGGGACATGTGATGTGGACAAAAGGCACTTCTTGGTTTTCCTGCCTGAAAAGAAGCATGATCTAGGAGCAGGATTTTCCGGAACCTTGTAGCCACCACCACAGGTTAGCAGACAATCACCTTTCCTAGGATGGGAATCGGCAGGGTGAGGGACGGGCTGTGTTCGAGGTGGAAAGAACTGGTGCTGGTTTTGGAGTAAATCAGAATATGTACTTCTGCAAAGCAGATGAAGATTAGGATTGTGCACTGGGTTTTATTTCAGGCTTGCTTCTCTGTTTCCATAGCAGTCCCAGCTTCTCTCAGTATCTTCTTTGTAAAAGTGTGCTAATACTCATCGAGCCATATGGCCGAACTCGAAGTTCAGAAAATATGGTCATCTTATTTATGGATCAATCCGTTTTTCCACAGCATGAGTTTGTTGCTTTGAAGCCATGGTGTGTGTAAGGAGCAAAAGCCCTCCCTGGGGCTCAGGCAGCCCCTTGCGGGTCTTATGTATCAGAGTAGATGTTTGGGACAAATGGCGCGCTGGTCATCCTATCATGGCTTTGGAAAGTACGCCCCCCATGCCAGGAGTCCCGGCGCTGCTGACGGCTGACTCATTTGTGTTCAGTGGTGTCTTGGAAGGAGCCTCTGCAGTGAGCTTTTGCTTCCTGCCTGGCAGAAGAGCCAGCGGAGAATGGCTGTGTGTGCTGTGTCATCTGTGTGTGGCGTCATGCAGGCTTGGCTTGCTGCTGCCTCCAGTTCTGCAGCCAGCGGACCGAATGCAAACGTCATCAAAGCATAAAGCGACACAGCACACACAGAGACTCCGGAGGGAGACGCTAGGTAGGACCTACGTGGGGAGCTGAGTGTGTGGGGCCAGCACCTCATACTCACTAGA